GCAGACATTTTGAATGGTTTTTTATTCTCACACAAGTGGACAGAATACTTTGATAGCAAAGTAACGATGCCGGCTTTGCTTTGAGCCAAGCCAAAGCGCATTCCTGAAATTAAAAAAATTAATAAACAAGTTGATGAAAGAAATTTAACAATTCAGCTAAATGAATTTCAATTTAGTATAAAAACGAGTTTATTTCATCTTATTTGAATGCTTAACCCGCCAACTGATAAATTTCGATTAAACAATTTCCACTTTCATAAAATGGAAAAGTTTTAAAAGTCATTTCACAAAGCGATAATTGAAAGTATTACTTATTATGATTTCAATAGCTGTTCTTACCTGGACACATACGCGGACCTTCACCAAATCCCAAAAACATGCAGCCATGCGTTTTTTCATTTTGATTCAAAAATCGTTCAGGTTGAAATTGCAAAGGTTGTTCATACAAATCCGCATCGCTAGAAGAATGTGAATTTTAATATGAAGGTATATATTTTTAATAAAATTGTTATTATTAAGGTGGATCTCCATATAGCATGCATATACGTATGCGCGTGTTTGGCACAAAAATCTAATATAAAAATTTGTATGGCAGCATCTATAAATCAACGCATGAAAATTTAAGAAAGTTGTATGAATTTTGACTTCTAAGCGTAAATGTCAAACGCACGCATACTATGGAGGTTCGCCTTTAATTTCAACGATTGTTCTCGTTTCGCCAATCCTTTTGTCTTTATGTTAGTTAATCATTTATCAAGTGAAGATAGTATCGCTTTCTTAATGCTGAAAAGCGAATCGCATATAAATACCAAGCGTGAGGAATGAGAGTTAATGAAGAAGTTAGTGAGGAATGAGAGAGGTCAAAAACAGGGGAAAAAAGTGTTCTCGTGTATCAAGAGAATTTAGATATTTTTTATGTACTTAATTGAAACTTTTTAACACCTTGGAATACACTGTAGGCACGCTAAAATAACAAAAAAATAAACAACGAAGAGACACGTAAACTTAATTTTGGTTCGTAGATTACGGATCTTTAAACAGTTTCTCTAGATCATTTTCACAAGGTATTTTCATTTTAAATTTGCATTACGAATGAAAAAGATCAAAGATGGAAAATGTTACTCATACGCCATGTACGAGTACGGCCATGGACGACATGGCGTATGAGTAACATTATTTCTTGCTACTATTTCATAAAAAAATGATTGCGCATTTTCACCATTCAAATGTCGTTCATCGTTACTAGATTGATTTTTTTGGCAAAAGAACAGACATTAATACAAGTGGAAACAATATAGGAATTATTATTTATTTATTTTTTTTTTCTTTTCTTATTGTTTTTTTTTAATTTATTCCTAATTAAAATTTGAATTTTTTTTTATAAAAATTAAAGCATCTTGTGAAAATAACCAGATCAGAAAAAAACGGTATACAGATCCATAATCTATGACTCAAAATTAAGTTTGCATATTTCGGCGTTGCTTTTTTTTTGTAATTTCAAAACTTAAGATTTTCCCTACAGTGTTATTAATTGGAATGCTTCATAGAGTGCCCTGAGATTGAGGGAACTGAGTCTGTGGAAAGCGCTTACGTACGGGCATGGACATATCCTAATCTAACAATCTAAGTATTCCTCTATTTTTAAGAATTTTGGGCCACACAATTTGTGGCGTAGAGACGGAGGCTTATTTAACTGACCTCCAATTTGAAAAGTCTATTCCACTACCATATTCTGCAAAGCCAGGCGACAGTTAAGGCACTTGCCTCTCTATGTATTTATTGTTTCCAGCATACAGAAGCGATGCAGATATATGCTAAGATATGATTTTCATCGTATCAGAGGTAGAACCAAGGTTAGATTTCTAGGCAATATTATTCCAATGCAACTTAGTAAATTAAAATTGTTACATTCGCTACATCAACCAACCAATCAGAAGCGATCAGTGTTGTCATTTTTGGGATTTTTCTGGGAATTATTTTCCTATGGTTGGCTACATACTTACAAATATACCCATGTAGTCAGCCGATTAAATAAGTGACACTTTGACCAGTCTTGGCCATTTTTATTTTGTCTATTTAACGTTTATAATTATTTTATTAAAGTCTAGCCCATTATTTAACTAGTCAGTAACTCAAAGTTCTGCACAATTAAATGCATGGCTATGTTTAAGTTGACGGCTCTCGTCAGTACTCCTCGGGGTATGCACTATCGCATTGTCCTGCCTGAACGCTTGGTGTACGATGAAAAATACCAAAATGTGTGAAATAAAACTATGACCAAAAAAAATGCCTATAACGTATTTTTCATTTCTAACCATCAATTTTAATCAAACGAAAATCGAAAAAGCCGCAAAACTCTGCATTAAAATCTGTACAGCTATATTTACATACATACACATATGTACATATATTAGGGCGGCTCAACTTTTATGGGAGATTTTTTCGACTATGCGCGTATAATACAGAAGGATTCTAAGTGTAATTTTAAGCAAAATTTCCAGTGAAATCATGGGTCAAAAATCAATTTCCAGTTTGTCAAATTACGAAAATCGGTTTTTAAGTATTTTGCTGTAGTGTTGTAAGAAGTGCATAAATTTTGCATAAAAATATATTATAAAGAGGTTTTTGGTATGAGGGATTCATTTCTGTACTTACCTTTTTCTTAAAACTTCCACCAGAGCGCACAACAAAGAAAATTTTCTTCGAAACCTATTTTCGCAAACTTCAAATTGATTTTTGGTCCATGTTTTCTGCGGCAAATTTGCTCAGAATTACACGTAGAATCCTCTTTTTCTATACGCGCATAGTTAAAAAAAAAATGTACCCGCCCTAATGTGCATATTTATACGCAAGCATATATGTATGTATGTATGCAGCCAGGCGTAGTAAAAATTTATAAGTGTCTAAATAGTTTTCCCCTCGAAACTCACTAGTGCACTCCTTTCACTGGTATGACGAAGACCATTCCAACAGGCACCTTGAAAGACTTGCCGCCCATAGACTGCGCTGGTAGCTCAAATTCTTTCGTGCAGTGCTTCAGCAGTGCCATCATTGGCGGATAAAGACGCAAAGTTTCTGCAAAGAAGACCATTTTGAAAATTAATTAAACCGCATAAACGCAGCCGTATTTCACTTTTTGTTTGAATGCAGTTAAATTACGCAAAACATGCATGTATGTATGCAAATGTGCGTAAATATATAACTTACCATAAAGTGTTGCTCCTAGATATGACATTTCCTGAATTGCATCATAGCAAATATCGCCACCATGACGAGCTAGCACTTCGTCTATTTCCTCTTGCACACGTTTTTGTACCAGCGGATTTTTAGCATACTATAGCGAGTAAATGATGTTTAAGCAAATATACAACGATGCTGGTGTATCATTGCAATTTTATACCTCGTGCAAAGCAAATGCCATTAACGAAGATGATGTCTCGAAACCCTCCAATAAAAAAGTGCTACAATGTCCGACGATTGTCGTCGCATCGACGGGCTCATGCAACTTCTGTTTACCCTCAATAAGCCATTGTATGAAATCGTTGGACTTCACAGTCACACTCGCTGAACCCACGGACGCGCAACGAATTTCCAACACTTTTCCAATTATCCCTTGCAGCCAGTCTTGAACGCCGGTTGGCACGTAACTGCAATTATGTAGATGCAATATTTAGATCAAAGTGTTCCAGCTTAACGCATCGCTAGGCGCACTTACTGGTATTTTATGAGGTTGCCGAGTTGCGGGGAGAAGAGCAGCGCAATAGTTTCAAGCAAACTCCAGGCATGTGGCAAAAAGAGATTCTCAACAAGTTGCGCGAAGTCCGAATTGGTATTGGTGAGTGCAGCACCGTCAAGGCCATAGGCGGCCGAAGCAACCACATCCAGTGTGTACTTGGAGAAAAGCTGCGGAATGCACAACAAACAGATGCTGGTGTACATACAATTATACACAAACGAGTACATATGTATGTGAGAATGCACATGCATTAATAATTATGATGTGTAATATTTATGTGCTTTGTTCATTTATTAAAAACTAGCTTTTACCCGCGGGTTTCAACCCACGTCTTTATACAAATATGAAAAATAATTCATGTAAAGATGTTATATTTTATTTCTGCTCTAATTTTACTATAGGAGAATACGGAAGGACAGTTTCTCTATGCCTATAACCTTTCCGGGGTAAAAATAAATAAGTGTGCAAAGTTTCGTGCTATTCCGTGTCGCGGTTCAAAAGTTATAAGGTGATAAACAAACAGATATTCACATTTATATATATGTATATAGATTTACTTGATATACATACATCCTTTCCTTCAAAGCAATTACTTGAGTTGAGTATGTGTAGCGATACATATGCGTCTAGTTTTTCACAGATTGATTTGATGTGGTGAAACGACGCTTTGACCTGAAAGTGAAAATAGATTTAAAGTTAAATAGCAGATTTTATCTTTGAAATATTTAAACAAATAGGAACATGCAATATTTAGCGCTCTATCGATATATAGAGTGGTTACATTTGCAGCATGCAATTCATATCATTCTTATATTTGCAAAGCGCT